ACTCAGTTGGCTTGGGTGAACCGGTCCTCTCCTCTGGAGTGAAACTACTTTCCCAGAAAATTGACTTCACTGTATCCAAACCTTCTGATCTAGTTTTAAGCTAACCCTTCTCTGGACTTTGCCCCTTTCTGGTCACCCATACACGATTTCTGAATTTAAACGGAAAAGGTGTGATAGTTAGATATGACCTGACCTTTGCCCTAGGTAGCTTTTCCATACTTATAGGAATATATTCAGCCTTGTCAAATTGATTGGAATGTCCCAATTTGTTTTACAGTTTTTTATACTCCACTCTTTGGCTGCTCTAACGCCTGATACTTATATGGTAAAGACCAGATAGGTGTGATTTCTTTATCCTGCAAGGGTGACAAAAACTTTCTCATCTTTAAAGTGAGTGACATTATCCATTCCTACTTTCTCAGTTTTTAGGAAAAATACTTATATGTTCCGCCATTTGAGCAGACACTGTGTTCCAGTTGCTCTGGTCAGAGGATAAACATGTTTATGACTCCCTCCATTTATCAAAGGTCACAAGGAAATACTTATTCCCACTGGGAGTGCGGGTCAGAAAAGGACCTGCTTATGTCAGCACTAAAAATGGTTAGTGGTCCTTCCTCTATTATTTTAAGATGCTCAGGATGAACTTTCTTAAACCCATCCACCTCTACACATTGAAGACATGTTGACCATGTGTGTTGTAGGTGCAATCGCAGTTTTGGTAAGAGGATTTTATTGTGGAGACAATATTTCCTCATCTGAACTAGGCCCACATGGCCTAAACTGCTGTGTAATTCACGCACAACCTAAGGAGCTTCTTCAGGTGGTACGTGAATGCTTCCACCCTTTTTCCATATTCTAGGGAATATGGCAGTCAGGTGGTTAACTCGTCCCGTGCTTTAAGCAAGGTCAAACTTCTCTATTACCCTGATAGTTAAATTATATCTTATCTATATGGCTACGGACATGATTCCATTCTACATGCCTGCTTTTAACTCTGCAATAAGACCCTCAATAGATGGGGTGTAAGCGCTTCACCTTTCACATTTTTGAACTGCCTTTGTTTCCAATTATTAAGCTCTTCTTTACCCGCTTTTTAATAATAATCACTATCAGTAATAATACGGATGTGTGCTATTTTTCCTTTTTTAGCAAAAGGAAGTCCCTCAACAAATGGCCTTTTCCTCAGCAGGCTGTACCTGGTATTGCACCCTTTTGCTCGCAAAGTACTTCACCTGAATTAGTTTTCATTATAAAGGCCCAAGTGGCTGCTTGGTCACCTTTTCGCAAACTCCCCTCTGTCAACAGTGTTATCTGTGGAGTAGCGGTTTTCTGTTCGGGTTTCAATGTTTCCCTTTGTGGCTTACTTCCTGAGGTCCTCTGCACCCCACATCTGGATCAGACATTATCATCTTCTATTTTCTTCATCTACTCATCATTATTTTTGCTCCCTGAACAGTTTGTTTAGTAGCTTCAGATATTGGAAAATAAAGAGTGTATATGCACATTCTGGTACCTTGAGACATTTCCCTCAGGGCTGGATACATTTATAATGCAAGTGCAAGATGCTTCTCTTCAGGTGATAATTTTCCCTCTGTTCCTGATCAAGTCATGGACATGAATAACACAGATGTTCTATCACCCTGGTTCCTTATCTCCACATTGTTAGTTTCTGAGAATGGGTCTCAACATACTATTTTGGTTTATGATATTTGATATTATTGTTCTGGTGTTAAGATAATTTTTTGAATCTCCCTCTTTTCTTAACAACTGGAGCTATGTCTATTTTAGATCCGACTTGGTTAAGAGTTGATTTATTCATTGGTGAGAGGAACACTATTTCCCTTGTGCTGAGGCCATAAAACTTTTAATGGTCTTTCGTGGTCTGCTCAAATTTTCTTCCCCTCCAGAGGTCACGCCTGTCTTTGACCCTGTGTGCTGCGTGTTTCTGCAGCACCTCGGGAGCAGAGAAAAGAGGAAACCTTTTTTCCAAAAGTGCATTCTCCTTCATGAGAAAAATAGCACCACATTTAACTCTCCCTGACTTGTCTTTAAAGCGTTCTTTAAGGCTTGAATTGAGTTTTCCGTTGTGTAACGGAAAATCCCATTCCCAAAAAGGGGTCAAAAGTAAATGCTTTAGTTGATTTTGGTAAAGTATTTGAGCTTTAGCTTCGCAAAAACTTTCTCATATTAGTTTTGAAGATATTTTTGGGACTTGATATCTGCTGATAGTTCCCACATAGGTTTTTTCTTAAAAGTACATTAAAAACAACCGGTATTTGTGGGTCATCTGATCACCACATCGCCTTCTGACAGTTTAATAGTCCTTATCATATTATCACACTGTTATTGCATGCTAGGACCTATTCTCTTTGCCAGAGCTACTGCTATTTCTCCTGCATGTTTTAGCTTCCTATTAGCAGGGTTTATTAACATGGTTTGTTGATCCAGTTTAAGATTTTCAATATTTGACATTATTATTTTCCAACATTCCTTTTTCCTGAATATCATGTCTAACAATGTGGGTTTTTTTTTTTCTTTCTAGGAGTAGTAGATGGGATACTCCTAAATGGCATTTTTTGAGCTTTTATCCCTGTATGGTGGAGATAGGGTCTCAAACATTATACCACCTGCTTGTTGCTCTCTGTCAAACGGTAGTCTGACAGGAAAGTATTTTGGTCGCGGTACGCCCGTGGGTCTGGGCTAAGCTGACCAGGGCGGGCAGAAGCTCCGGATTTTGCTTCTGTGTATCCCCCCTGTGTGGTTGGCTCCGAGTCATTAAAAACTGCGTTCTAACCTCGTCCGCCATTTATTTTTGTTTGTTTGTTTTAAAAAACAACACAAAAATGTATTTAAAGGGTTCAAGTTCACTCTTTTATACACATGCAAGTTCCTAGGCTTTACTCTCGACGGGCGTACAGTCCGACTATACCGTCACTTGGTTCTAAGTTCTCTTTCTGGATTCAGTTAGTACATGCGGGTACCTCAGCTAAGAGTTTTATTTACCGAGCTTCGAATTTTTTAAACAGCATAGGTACCTTTAGACCTATGTTTATCTTTATTAAATCTCCTATTAACTCTTCCCCACGTTATGTTTTAACGCAAAAGTTCAAACCGCAGCTCTTGGTCAAGTCCTACCTATAAGTTTCAAAGTAATTGGACAAGTACTGAGCAGTGCTCCTACGGCTGACTTCACTTTAGCCACCTAAACCTGTGTTAAAGGGACCACAGGCTTCTCAATTTGACTAGGGGAAAATGAACCTTCTTTAGCTTCTTTAATCAGACAGCTATATCCGATATAATATAACCCTCAGTCCGGTGCAATAGTATTAACTTAAATTACTACACTTTCAGGTTTAATTATATATATTCTAGGATTTGGGGTAGGTATTTTAACAAGACTTTCAGCCTGTATTTCGCTGATTTGTATTCATCGACTTTTTTCACTAGGTCGTTTTGGTTCTTGTATTTTGACTCTGTAAAAGTATTATTTTTCACAGAGCCCCACGTTGGGCGCCATGTTTAGAGTATTGAGAGGTCCTGATAATTTATTCCGGCAAATTATTCTGACCTCCTAATTGACCTTTCCGAAGATTATTGAGTCTATGTAAGTTTGCTGCGTGGCTCAGATCCACCAACGTCAGCAAGATCTCACCTCTACTAACTTCCCGAAGAACCAAGGTTTCAATTAACTGCTGTTTCAATTCAGACAACTCTTTTTTAATCTGTTTAAGCGATCCCGAAGGATTTTGATATCAGTAAATGGAGTGTGCTCCTACCTAAGTGTATGTGGCAGGGTGCAATCTTACCTTTGACGCAGGAGAGGAGGGCACAGGTGTCTTTTAAAGGATCCCAATCCAACAGGTGGGATTCAGTTTATTTGAAGAAAAATAGGTCCAAACTAATACAGGGTTTTTACCTTCTCTCTCACAACATTATAATCATCCTAACAAAAACACCGTGCTGTGATCATGTTCAAATGAAACTTTAATTCACAGTCTTACATTTATTACCAAAATGTTTTAATTTCAACTGCCCATTTCAGTTGTGACATTTTAAAATTCTCCCGATAGAATTTAGAGGTATTTCCTCGTAAAAAGACCGGTGACAATAAAAAGCGCATTCAACTTTTCATTCACCCATTTATTCACATCAGTTTTCATACACTTTTTCCGACACAGACGGCGGATTAACCTTTCAAAAACCCATTCCTGTCCGCAAAATTCGAAGGAAGGTCCTTACAGGTCGCGGTATTTATAATTTTCAAACACTTTTTCCGACACAGACGGCGGATTAACCTTTCAAAAACACATTCCTATCCGCAAAATTCGAAGGAAGGTCCTTACAGGTCGCGGTATTTATAATTTTCAAACACTTTCTCTCATCAAATCATTCCACTCAGCCAACAACCAATAAATTCGAGAGATATTTACCCCGTCTAGAAGGACCTTACCGAGAGCTATTAACCCAGCTCTGAAGCACACAGCCTACCCGGAGAGAGTCTACCAGGGGTCACCCCCCCTCTCTCGCGCTCTCTCAAAAACCAGTCTCTTTATGCTAAAAAAACTGGATCCTAAACCCAAAAAAACAAACTCCTCCTCTTACACCCAATTCAGTTGAAAACCGCGCATGCGCATAATGTACAAGGCTGAACATGTCCCAACATGTTCCACAGCTGTTATGGGATAAGACACCCTTTCATATGAGGTAAAAAGGACATGAACTCTCTTTGGCCTCTTAATGTTTCTCCCCTTAGTGTGAAGCCCCCCCCCCCCCCCTCTCTCTGGACTGCTGCCAGAGGAGAGGAAGAAAACTCAACCTAAACACCACTTTGTTTTGTTTATACTGTAACTATAGAAAAACTAAAATATGAAGCATTTTCCTTGTGGGTTATACAAGAATATAATTGATTATAACTAACTTTCGTTTTTAAGTATTAAACATACTATGAAAACTCACAACACCCTCTTTTCAAAACGCAAAGTTATCAAAATAGCAACAGAAAAAATTGTAAGCATAGATACATATTCAAAAACCGTCAAGAAGCATTCTCATTATGGGTTTATACAAGAATATGATTGATCATTATGATTTATAATTAACTTTCGTTTTTTAAGTATTCACTTCATACCATGATCTCAATTAACTTTCGTTTTAAGTATTCACTTCATATGAAGACTCACAACACTTGAGAAGTTAATCTCAGGTTGACAGCAGCTCTTTCAGTCAAATATGGTCATTCTACTCACTTTCTAACACAAGGTACTTTTTGGAATTGAGTAAGATAAATCGACAGAATAGCTTTGGACATTTTCTGATTTATCAGAATCCATTTTTAGTCGTTTAAGACTTGAAATCATTTTTGAAATAATGAGTTTTCAGACTAAATGAATCACGTTATTTATCAAGTGACAAACTTGTCATATTGGGCTGATACACCAAATTATATGAAGTCAGATATATTTTAAAGTAATATTACCAAACAATTTCAATACAAACCTGTGAGGCAGGTGGTACATGGCATCAGGTTTACCTGATGGACACAGACAGGCGAACAGGTCGGATGGTGTGGTTGTTCCACAGCTGTCTGTACTCATCGAGGTCTTTTTGTAAGATGCCCAAAAACACATATCGCAGCAGACACTTGTGCTCATGGCTTCCATTGAAGAGGTGCCTCTCTCTAAGGTCACTGAAGAGCTCGATCCAGAACTGAGTCCTAATGGTGGAATTCAAAACTTTTGTATTTCATGAAAAAAAAGACAACAAATATTTCTAGAAATGTTGTACATTTCTTGGTGCGCTCCTACATTATTTCATTTGGGAGCACATAAACTCCCTTGGGAAAATGTTAGTGTACAGCTCTAATGTAACTTCTCAATTGTTTTCATCCAGATAGATTTAAAGTATTTGGGCACCTCTGTACTATATACACACACACATACATTCTTGGACCTGACCTTAAAAGGCTATACCTTTGCTTTCTGAAGAAAGACCACCAACTCTCGATGCGCTGGTTTGCAGTTGAGGTACCATACATGTGACTGAGGGCTCCTGCAAAATCATCTGTGTGTTGAGATCGTAATGTGCAGTTAATGGCTGCCATAGTGCCGTTTTCAGTTCCACAGTCAGTGCGAAGGCGGGCTGGAAGTAGTCCAAACTCCGATACACACTGCAGGTAATACTGCGCAATGATGCCCGGATCGTTGTTAGTGCTGCCACTCCTGAGCCACATAGCTTTCCTTGAAAAGCCGTCGATGCAGCCACTGATGGCAATACCAAAGGGTTTAAGTTTATCATATCCATCAGCGTGCCACACTTGGTTTGGTCCTGCTGTGACGTATCCCCTTCGGACAAACCTTCGCCTGGAACGAAGTTGAACACCAGATGGATCCAGTCTGGAAATCGTCTGTCTAACATCCTCCCTTTTTACTGTCAGGTGATACTTTTGTTGCAATGTCTGCCACATAGCTCTGTAACCCAACAGCCGACCCGAGCCTCTCAGTTCATGTGCAACAGTTTGGTGTACAGTGCCAATGGGAGTGTAGTCTATCCTTCTTGTTAAGCCAGCGTTCTGCAGCCTCCTCTTTAAGGTCCTCAGACTAAGAACAATGTTGTGTCTTTCTTCTAGAAAATCAAGTATCACTTCATAAGCGTGTCCCTCTGTGAAGTACTTGTGGATGAGGCCTGCCTCGATTCCTTCATTCGATTCTGTGACTGAAGGGAAAAGACAACAGTGTCATTAGGAATGAAACTTAATAAGAACAAAATGAAAATGTATCAGTAACGAGGAAAATACCTGAACTGTGTGATGCATAAGTGTATGTTTTCAGTATGTTCAATGCGTGAACAATTCCAGACATGAGGAGCAAAAAATAAGAGAAATAAACAGGCAAAGGACAAAATATTGGGATGCTTACATAATTGGTAAGGATAAAAATACATATCAATCTAGAGGTAGCGAACAAAAAGGAACCCTTTTAATGCCTGTATTTGTGCATAAACGCATCAGAAGGCTCAACCCTCACATGAAGGAGCACATCATTGGTCAACTTTGGTATTTCACCTGATTTTTTTACTTGTTGGCATTTTTTTTTATCAGTAGTTCTAAATCATGTTGAAATTGCCATGACTGACAATAATATGTGTATAGCATATATTAAAATGGCAACAAATCATATACAAATAAGACATTATCACTGTACTGGTGAAATTCTTGACTTTTAAGGAGGAGCTTACCATCTTCGAGAAAGGGAGCCAAACATTCAATGTTGCTGCCACAGGAGCCGCAACACCTCCCAAAACACCCACCAGTCCCACAATATGGACAATACATTGCCTGTGGAAAAGGAGCAATGTGAATGTTATTCATTTGCAATGAAGTAACAGCTACTTGGTAAGCTATTGCAGCAGGTAATGTTACCTGCAAACAGCTGACACTAATTTAACAGCAGATATCAGCTGCAATCACTTAATATCTGAACCATGCATCCATCTACAATGTCAAAATACATTCAAAAAAAAGAAGAAAGATTTAAAGCCAGTAAACTTCCCAAAGGAAGCACGTCTTGGACAGGATAGAGACCCTTCTCTATCTCTAAGCAGGATAAGAGACCATCATTTATCTCTAGACAGGCACATTTAGATAACATGTTGATAGAGTCAAGATTGACTACAGGATGTTAGTGAAGATCTAATATGTATTCAATATAGGGCTGGGCAACGATTACAAGTTTTAATCGCGTTTCCTGCGATTAACGCGCTAATAACGCGTTAACTTGCCCAGCCCTAATTCAGTAAAAGTTGTTCCTTCAGAGCATGTTGAGGAGAGGACCCGAGCTCGTCTGTTGAATAAAGGCATATTCAACTTACTTTGTGTGTCTTAGCATCATCTTTAAGTCCCGGTCGGCTCAGATCCGTTTGTTTAGAAAACAGCTAACGTTAGCAGATAAAAGTAGCTATGTTCTCCTAACATTATACACTACACACATAATCTGCTCCCACACACAAAATAACGTCATTTAAAGTCATAAATACGGCAGCGACAGATATTATCTACATCCTGTGTAACTTTAACATTATAAACTTACCCAAGAGATGTTTCCTGGAGATCCCCCAGACTTCTTCTTCTCTCACATAAAAAACCCGCATGTGCATCAGCAATAATAGTCCCCGGTAATTCACTTCCGTTGTGGCTTTTTTATTTGCATCGCGGCGTTTTTATTTGCGCGGCGTTTCTGTTTCTTTTTATTTGCAGCGTTTTTTAAATTTGCAGCAGCCTGGCCTCTCAGGGCCACCGTACTCTTCACTACAGAAACACAGCGTGGAGGAAGCAGAGAGCGAAACACACAGATCCGTCTCTAGCTCAGGGACACAGACCCAACCTCTTCTGAACTGAGAGGGGGGTCAGTGGATGTTTGGGTCAGTGGATGTTTGGGTCAGTGGATGTTTGGGTCAGTGGATGTTTGGGTCAGTGGATGTTTGGGTCAGTGGATGTTTGGGTCAGTGGATGTTTGGGTCAGTGGATGTTTGGGTCAGTGGATGTTTGGGTCAGTGGATGTTTGGGTCATTGGATTTTCTTTTCACAAATGGAAATTCTAAAACAAAAAACGACTGGATATTTAATTTTCGGCGTTTTTTAAAGGCGTTTTTCTTTATCATTTACTAAACTTAAAAAACGGGATGATTTTCATTTTCTACTTCTCAAAACAAAAAATAAAATCACTAGAAAACAGAAACAAAAAAACTACCGTTTTTTTCATATTCTGCTACCGGAAGTTACCTTACAAAATAAGAGCGCAGACGAAACTCACGGAAGTGATTTCAAAACAAAAGCACTCGTAGGCTTTGCTAAAATCACACTTTGAATCACTACAGTATCCTGTTGAAGGAACTGTGATTATTATAAACAAGGGGAATTTAGCGATCACAATGAAAACGGCCAACACACACTTTGAGCCCAGAACATGAATGTTATTAAGGGCTAAAAATAGGCCTATTTCTAAAATGGACAACATTGTTAGGAGATTTCAACTATACAGCGATTCTGCACTGCGGTCACCTCAGCCGTCTGTCGAGTTTGTTTTTCAAATCAGCTGCTTTTCATTTTTTCCCTGCTATATTCAATGAGTGATACAAATATCTTTGTCCACAAGTTCTTAATAAAACTGACTGTTGGACTCGGTACTAATTTGACTGCTACTGCTACACCACTCAGACCGCAAGGTATTATAGGTTCGTTTATTAACTTCCACAAGGCACGTGTGCAATATGTCAGCATCTCAAACGATCTCAAAGCACACACACTTCTTCTGTTCATCTCCAGCATCAAACAATGATGAACCATCAGCTGATCTGCCCCCTTGTGGTATGAACATGCAGGTGCAGGTAGACAACCTCAACCTTATGGGTGCTGCACTACCAGAAATGAAATGAAGTACTTTGACTGTGTACTTTGTGAGTACTCCTCTGTCAGAGCTTGTACTGTGTACTTTGTGAGTACTCCTCTGTCAGAGCTTGTACTGTGTACTTTGTGAGTACTCCTCTGTCAGAGCTTGTACTGTGTACTTTGTGAGTAATCCTCTGTCAGAGCTTGTACTGTGTACTTTGTGAGTAATACTGTGTCAGAGCTTGTACTGTGTACTTTGTGAGTAATCCTCTGTCAGAGCTTGTACTGTGTACTTTGTGAGTAATCCTCTGTCAGAGCTTGTACTGTGTACTTTGTGAGTAATCCTCTGTCAGAGCTTGTACTGTGTACTTTGTGAGTAATCCTCTGTCAGAGCTTGTACTGTGTACTTTGTGCGTAATACTCTGTCAGAGCTTGTACTGTGTACTTTGTGAGTAATACTCTGTCAGAGCTTGTACTGTGTACTTTGTGAGTAATACTCTGTCAGAGCTTGTACTGTGTACTTTGTGAGTAATCCTCTGTCAGAGCTTGTACTGTGTACTTTGTGCGTAATACTCTGTCAGAGCTTGTACTGTGTACTTTGTGAGTAATACTCTGTCAGAGCTTGTACTGTGTACTTTGTGAGTAACCCTCTGTCAGAGCTTGTACTGTGTACTTTGTGAGTAACCCTCTGTCAGAGCTTGTACTGTGTACTTTGTGAGTAATACTCTATCAGAGCTTGTACTGTGTACTTTGTGAGTAATCCTCTGTCAGAGCTTGTACTGTGTACTTTGTGCGTAATACTCTGTCAGAGCTTGTACTGTGTACTTTGTGAGTAATACTCTGTCAGAGCTTGTACTGTGTACTTTGTGAGTAATCCTCTGTCAGAGCTTGTACTGTGTACTTTGTGAGTATACTCTGTCAGAGCTTGTACTGTGTACTTTGTGAGTAATACTCTGTCAGAGCTTGTACTGTGTACTTTGTGAGTAATACTCTGTCAGAGCTTGTACTGTGTACTTTGTGAGTAATACTCTGTCAGAGCTTGTACTGTGTACTTTGTGAGTAATACTCTGTCAGAGCTTGTACTGTGTACTTTGTGAGTAATACTCTGTCAGAGCTTGTACTGTGTACTTTGTGAGTAACCCTCTGTCAGAGCTTGTACTGTGTACTTTGTGAGTAATCCTCTGTCAGAGCTTGTACTGTGTACTTTGTGAGTAATCCTCTGTCAGAGCTTGTACTGTGTACTTTGTGAGTAATACTCTGTCAGAGCTTGTACTGTGTACTTTGTGAGTAATACTCTGTCAGAGCTTGTACTGTGTACTTTGTGAGTAATACTCTGTCAGAGCTTGTACTGTGTACTTTGTGAGTAATACTCTGTCAGAGCTTGTACTGTGTACTTTGTGAGTAATCCTCTGTCAGAGCTTGTACTGTGTACTTTGTGAGTAATCCTCTGTCAGAGCTTGTACTGTGTACTTTGTGAGTAATCCTCTGTCAGAGCTTGTACTGTGTACTTTGTGAGTAATCCTCTGTCAGAGCTTGTACTGTGTACTTTGTGCGTAATACTCTGTCAGAGCTTGTACTGTGTACTTTGTGAGTAATACTCCATGTAATGGGATTTCTCTTGTGCTGACATGAGAGGAGGTTGTGGAAGTCATTCGGTGTCTCAGATTCTCTACCATACTGCGGAAAAACTGATCTGCATGAATCTGTACAAGCCTGCCATTCTCACGCAGGGCAACACCCTTGAAGGACTTCTCAGCTAGAGCTGTATGAACTGTAGTCATGTGTGGGCCAGGCATGGTGACCATGGATTCAAAAACTCGTATTTCTCGAGTTAAGAGCCTATCTGCTGTAGGCAGTGTCATCTCTCTTTTTTGGAGTTGCCGAGAGAGGTCGCTGAGCTCTGTGAGCGCATCGTACATCAGTCCCAGATTGCTGACAAACGTTGCAGATGTGAGCACATCATCCAGGCCCTTGTACTTTGCTCTGTCTCTGGAATCCCTGCTCGTGTCGTTTGCAGCATTTGTGAAGTGATCATGAAGCACTCGGTAGTTTTCCCAGACTGCTCTGACGCTCCTTTCACTTGAAGCCACCCAGCGGATGGACAAAACACGCCCTATCACCAGGAGACGCTGTCCGACTGCTTGCGCACACTGCGCTAACTGCCTCTGATTTTTGGGGGGAGGCATGGAACAAGGAATAGAGTTTGTCAAAAAAGATCTGGAAATGATTGAGCCCTGAGACCTCCTTGACCACATCCCCAACTGCCAGCTCTAGACGATGATTGGAGCAGTGCCACACAAACAGGCTTGGGAATTTACTACACAACTGGGTAGCAACGCCTGTTCTCTTCCCTAGCATGACTGAAGCCCCATCACATGCAAAAGAAACGAAACACTGACCTAAAAAGTCCTCGTTAAAATCTCTTCCAAGACACTCCATTAACGCCTTTGTGATGTCATCAGCCGTTGTTTCATCCAACTCGATCAGCTCCCAAAAAAACGTTTCGGGCTCAGCATCAGCTAATGCTGAGCGTAGACACACAACAAGCACCGTTTTACCACTAATAGTGGTAGATTCATCGACCAAAACACAGAGTTTTCTTTGGTTTTCTGTAATGTCTTTTGCCATTTTTTTCTTCAGCTCATGAGCTATGTGGTCGATGATTTCGCCACAGGTTTTATTGGAGTGCAAAACCCTGCCCACGTTCAGCCCATTCAGTTTCTGTACATTCAAATCAATTGGCATGTCTGTGAATGGCCGGCTATGTTTGCCAATTTTATATGCCGTTCGAAAAACTCTGATAGTGGTGTCTAATTCAGATTTATGCATAGACTGCACTTGATGTTGAATAGTTTCATGTGAAGCAGATGTAAGGATGTCAGCAGCTTTTACATGGGCTTGTGATTCTTTATGTTCTTTGATTTTTTTTCTCAGGCTAGCTTGTTGTTTGCCCTTGTCAACACCGAAATGAGACACTGCACACTCACCCCATTCAGTTGACAGTTTCAGTCCTTGTCCAGTGTGTATTCCCAAAGATTTGACATCTCTGCATATCCGACATCCTAGCTTCTTATCTTTAAGAAGGAGCCATGCATTGGTCTTGCAAAAATATTGCACCTTGTCCGTTGTCCAGCAGTCAGGTGCATCGCTTTGCCCGGTGTTGGTGGTGGCAGTTGCGCCAGCAGCAGCTAACGTTAGAGGCTCTGGAGGAGGCGGCGGAGCTAGTGCTAATGCTAATGCACTAGAACTTGGAGCAGGAGGATCAACCAAAGAAAGCTCCCCATCAGACACAATTTCCAACACAGGCACAGCATTCTCTGTATTTGAAGTTTCTTCCGGCGACAACCGCTGTCTTTTTGCACTTTTATTAATCCACGCTAACATTTTAGAAATGCTAATTTGTGACGTGACTTGCTTTCCTTCTCTCGGGGGCGTGCCTGCTCTGTTCTATCACTCTACATAGCCACCCACTGGGTGGGAGTTGCACTGCATAAACACAACACACGTGCATCTAGGTATGTAAATTGTAAAGTATTAAAACATGGTTTTACTAACAGTTTTCAGTATGTTGTTACTTCGGCATTATTATTATTATTATTTTGAAACGTGTATTACTATTAAATCACGGTCAAATAGGTTAATTTTGACATAGTCGTTTCCACCACAGTATTTACATGGAGAAGATAAGCCCCGCCCCCTCTCCAGCACGTTCTGTTTGAATGACAGGAGTAAACAGCTGACAGCCGCTGTGAAACTCCAGCGGTTAGAGCGATGAGAATGTCCGTTCGGCACCTCATGACTCATCTACTGAGTACCGGGCGGCTGTATATATATATATGGATGTATAATAAGAACGGCGGGAGAGTGTTGAGTACTGGCACGGTGCA